CCATATTATAGGCAATTTCCTTAAACACCCCTTATAGACCAGCTTCGTGAATGAGGCCTACTAACGGTAAGACTGACTTTTACTCATACATATATATAATGTTAGACTTTTAATGTTGTATATAGTATAGGGTGCATTTTACACTTTTAAAATGTTAGGTGGTTAACTTTAACAATTACACTTTTAATTCAATTAAATGGTTAACCTAAACTTTTATGGATTTGTTAAGTCTCTTTTAATTATACTCCTTAATTAATTAATAAAACCATAAGGGTGTATTTGAACTTTTCAAAACATTACTAGGATTTTAGAATTTAACATTCCTAATTAACTTTTAATCAACTTTTAAATTCCAAAACTTGAGGGCAAGTTTTGAAACATTTCAAAACATTAGGGTTTCAACTATTTAAATTTTAAAACAACAAAACTATTAGGTTCAAATTTAAACTATAAAACCTAAAGGGTAAAATATGAAACTTTTCGTAACAACAAGGATCAAATAACAAATAATTTTAAATTAACATTTAATCACATAATTATCCATATTTGATTTATTTAATAATTTCTTGCAAAACAATTTATCAATTTACTCAAAATAATTAATCAATTATCTTATAAATTGATAAATATCTTTATTTAGATAAAAAATATAGTCAAATATATCATATAATTGGATTAATATTGATCTAACATGATAAGGTAACTATCCATATGCAAAAACAGCAAGAAATCCCAAGATAAGCAATATTTGACGAGTTGACTAGTCGAGTCAAGCCTGGACTCGTCGAGTCACCCTGGACTCGGCGAGTTCAGCTATGGACTCGGCGAGTCCAGCCTCTAGAACACCAAAAATCGAATTTTTTTAGATATACAATGCATCAATACAATTGAAACCAATCTACGCTCTGATACCACTGATGGGTTTTGGTCATAAGACATCTTATGTGCTCATACAAACCCTAATGCTTGGATCTAGGTTTCTCTATTGTACATGCTTTGAATCCAAGACTATAACCCCTAATTCTAGAATATGGAAATCGACATTAGCATATAATTAGGTTTAAGGTGTTACCTTGATTGTTATGTAGCAATAACAATCCCAATTCCTCCTTGAATTGACTTTGGAATGCTTAGAGTCACAAGTGTCACTCCTCTAATGGCTCACAATCACCATAAGCAAGAGGATGAAGAGGAGAAAGTATAAAGAGAGAGGAGAGAGGTTAGAATTCATCCTTAGGACTCCTTGGGAAGGGATACACGAATTCATGAGCCAAGGGGTGTTTATATAGGTGAAGAGATAGGGTTTCAGTCATTATCCTTATCTAGTTGCTTATCCACAAAGCAACCCATAAGATAATCCTTGAATCCTTATCATAGTCGAATTCTAAGGCCTTATCACCTCAAATTCGTTCACCATATATTTAAGATAATCCTTACCTTATTTTGTAACTATCACATAATTACAAATCAGCCCCTCTAGTTTAATTAATTACACTTGATCACAAAATTAATTCCTAATTAATTATTGACCAATATTAATTAAACAAATATGATTTCTCCTTTAATATATTATTCTTATAACATATTAATAAATCATAATAACCTTTCTCTCTTTATTTATTTCTCCAATCAAGTTGCTTTGGTGAAGGCAACCCAAAAGGACCATGCACCATCGGGTCAGGTACATACCAAAATAGTTATGGACTTAGACACTAATCCAACAGCTTTTTCTAACACATAGATATGAATTATTTCTTTATAAAATATGTGCTATGTTTTTATATATTATCTGTTATTTGGAATGAGTATTGAATGAGTATATTATACATGTTTTAAGTTGTGTATGAATGTATATATATATACACAAAAATGTTGGGTAAAGCATGGGTAGATAGTTGATGTGTGATTAAATAAAATGATGAGAGGCCTCGATGTTTTTGCTGATTCAGTCATCTAACGAAGTTTAGATGACAACCACAGACTTTTCTAGACAATCTGGTGGAACACTGGTAGACTCGTCACCTGTAAGTGTTATTGAGCTTGGGTGTTCAATTGCTATACTCCTTCCCCCACATAGTTGCCTTGTTTGACATATATTGCTAACGAACCCCGAAGCATGTGTTGTTGCCCCGATGAAAATCCTTAGGCTAGGTCCCTTGTGATAGTTATTTTAGGGACGTAAATTGAGGATAACGGGAATGGGTAATTGGGTTATTGTTGGTTGATGAAATTAACATAATTATTTATTATGGGTTGAAATCTCTATATCCTCACCAGGCTCTCAAGCCTGACCCACTCAATTTTATTTGTATTACAGGTAGTAGCGCGAGAGCATAAGTCGGATGAATCATCAAGTTATTTTGTTTATAGGCATGTAGTTGTAAATAACTGTTGTAAGGCTTATAATGTGCTGCTTATGCTTTTGGTCTGTATCGGAACATGACATCCCGAGTTTTGTTATATAATGAAAATACATTTCTTTAAGAAATGTTTTGGTAAATCTTATTTTATCATATTTCGTTTTGGGAACAAATTACGCAAGTTTTTTAATCAAAGGATTACTCTGAATTATTTTAAAAGCATAAATTAAATCGGTATTTTCTGGTAGTGAATTTGGGGATGTCACAGTTTAATGCATGAAAGCTAGCCAATAGCTTGATAAAGCTTGAATCTTTAGGATCAAGGGACCTCATAATGTCTAGATCTGAAGTCTCAAATCCATGGCAAGCTCAAACGACTTAAGGACCCAAAGAAAAGGTGGAAATGGCCATAATCTCCCTAGTGAAGAGATCTAACTAAACAATGATCAAGGTGATAGCTTTTTACCTCCAAATAGCAGCTAACACTGAAAGAACACTAGATCCAAGGGATTCTTCTCGTTCCAAGCTTTTTGCTCTTTAATCTACTTCCAAAAATGCATTAGAACATACAATCTTAGCCTTTCTCTCTCTCTCCCTCTCTCTCTCTCTCTCACAGATGAATACAGCTCGATTAGGGTTTCTCTCAGTGTGTTAAGATGATAAGGGAGGCAGAAATGAAGGCTTAAGATCCTTTAAATAGGGTACAAACCCTGAAAATTACGGTTTTAACACTCAACTCCTACTTGTCGAGTTGGGGTCCTTCAACTCATCGAGTAGACTCTAAAAATCACGCGGCCCTCTCAATTCCTACATGACGAGTTAGGACCAACCAACTCGTCGAGTTGGTCCTATATTGTAAATAAAATTCCCAAGTTCCCCATCCAAGAAATCGGGATGTTACAATGCAATCCTAATCCCAGTTCATCCTTGTATGTGGTCGGTTTTCACCTAAATCAGAAAATAGACAAAACCAAAGTTGTTATCATAATCAATTAAACCCATTGATATATAGTTACCATAACCTGGTGATTACCTTGAAACTTACTGTAACCATTACCACCACTTCTTTTTTCGGAATCAACCACCTCCCTTTTTCCTCCGCCAAGCAGGAATGTAGGAAGGATAGACATGTTGTCAACAACCATTGGCTTTCCACTTATCAAAGTTCAAGATTGTTGTCAAAGGGAAGGACGATCGGAAAATCAAGAACTCGCATCCACAAAATTGAGAAAATAGACTATAGATGGAATACACGTACCCGTTGAGAAGACGGTGGTAAAAAGATCAGAAAACAACACTCGATGATCAAAAAATAGAAAAGGTATAAGGAGCAAAATCCGACTTCATAAAAAAATTTAGGGTTTAGATGTGGTTGATTCGCCCTCTTTTTCTTCTCAACGTGCGGCTTATGAATGATATTATCGGAAAATAGAAAATAAATATTGTTTTTTGTTTAAAAGTGATGAAAGCGGTGGAGATGTTGTCTATATTTGAAAGTATCGGATGATGGAGTAGACTAAGGACTAAACTTGCCAACCTCTACGGTGTGGAAAAACTCTAAACAACAAAAAATATATTACTATACTATATTAATAGACATTGTCACTAGTAATAGTATATTTTGTATGTTTTAAGATGTTACAACAATACTTTTTATAGTTTGATAGTTTTAATCCATAATTTATATGTTTCAAGATTTTGCCACAATACTTTGTATAGTTTGATAATTTAGTCACTAACACCTTGTAATTAGAGATTGATCCATGTCTTTTAATATTTTCCCCTTTAAGTCTCATTATTTTGTATGTTTCAATATTTTGCCACAATATTTTCTATAGTTTGACAATTTTGATTCCTGGTATGTTGTGATTAGAGATTGACCACATATCTATTAATGTTTGTCACTTTAAATCCCTTTGACCATTTTGGCCTTCTTTTTGTTCCTTTTTTCATCTCACTACTTATACTTCATTATGAATTTGTAACACGTGTTTTAATATTTCTCACATTCAGTCATTTTGATCATTTTTTTACCCTTATTTTGTCCCTTTTTCTATTTATCGATTTGTGCTTCTGTTTTGAACTTTATTTTATCATCTTTTTCTCATCACCAACATTTGTGAAAAAGCAAAATGCATTTCATTGCTACCCGTGGTTTACCACGGGTTCACCCGCTAGTTGTTCCTATATATATATATATATATATATATATATATATATATATATATATATATATATATATATATATATATATATAATAATTTAATAATAATAAAATACGATCAATTTTTAAAAAAAAATTATAAAGCAAAAAAATCATAAAAATATCAAATCAAAAGTATGCAAAGCTAACCCTTTATATATTTTATAAAAGAGGAGTCACAGAACCGACTGCAATGCATGAGACACGAAGGTGGGACAGATGTCGATCAGTACGGTTGACTGGTTGATCTTTGTAACTTCAATTTAATGCAGATTAATTCGAAATTCAAAATTCCACCGCCGGAACGTTTCTTCTTATCAACACTCTCGCACTAGCTATATATATATATATATACACATACACTAGCTAGAAACATCCATCTTCTTGGTCAACTTGCTCAAACTATGGTGACTCCTAAGTTTACAAGAGTACAAAGTATGCGAGAGCGTGTTCAAGAAACTGTCTCCGCTAATCGCAACGAAATTGTCTCTCTCCTTTCCAGGTAATCAATTCTTTAGTTTTGACTTTTTACCGAGTTTCCTAGCTCACTCATACTCATGGACATGATTGCCTTGCGTTGCGTATTTAATAGAGTATTAATTCCTGTAGGTACGTGGATCAGGGGAAGGGTATTTTGCAGCCCCATCACCTCCTCGACGAGATTGAGAATAGCATTAGTGATCATACTTCCCGCCAAAAGCTTACAGATGGTCCTTTTGGCGAAATCCTCAAGTCCGCACAGGTAACGCACATATACGATTGCCCTTGGATATATTTATTGTCTGTTTAATTTTGTAAAATTTCAATAGCTAGGGAATTAATAGTTTCAAACCAAAAGCTTACAGATATGTGTTCAAATTAAAATCTACCATGCATTAATTTCTTTGAGTTTTCTGATTTTGTTTTCCTTGTTTCCTTATTTTATCTTTGTTTATCATGTTTCTGTAGATCTGTAACCTTTACTTAATTTGTTTGATTATAGGAAGGCATAATTCTTCCTCCATACGTAGCTTTAGCGGTTCGTCCGAGACCAGGTGTTTGGGAATTTTTGCGTATAAATGTTAACGAACTAAGTGTAGAGCAGCTGAGTGTTGCTGAATACCTTGTTTTCAAGGAGGAACTTGTGGATGGACAGTGAGTAATTAATAAATACTGATTATATATGTTATATATATGTAGTAACTAAGTTATGGGGTGGATGTTATTATAGGAGTAAGAGCCCTTTCGTGCTTGAGCTGGATCTTGAACCATTCAATGCTACATTTCCTCGAATGTCACGCTCGTCATCCATTGGCAATGGAGTTCTGTTCCTCAACCGCCACCTCTCTTCAGTTATGTTCCACAATAAGGATTGTATGGAGCCGCTTCTGGATTTCTTTCGTGCCCATAAACATAAGGGATATGTAAGTCCAATTCAATATTAATTGGTTTTGCTTCCATAATTCTGCTAGCTACTTACGTTAATTAGTGTCTTTTTAATTAATTAAGCTTCGATTACTTTCCTGATCACGTACGTACCATCAAATTAATGATTGTAAGGATTTTGCAGGCAATGATGTTGAATGACCGGATACAAACCATGTCTAGACTCGAGTCTTCTCTGGCAAAAGCAGAGGATTATCTTTCCAAACTACCACCTGATACGCCCTACTCTGAGTTTGAATATGTGTCAGTATATCGACCAAAGTTAACACAAGACTAGATCTTTATATAGTACTGAAGCGACCATTTAACTTTTTGCAGATTGCAAGGAATGGGGTTTGAAAGGGGCTGGGGAAACAATGCTGAAAGAGTTCTTAATATGATGCATCTTCTCTCTGACATTCTACAAGCACCTGATCCCTCTTCTCTTGAAAATTTTCTTGGAAAGATACCAATGGTTTTCAACGTTGTCATATTATCCGTCCATGGTTACTTTGGGCAGGCGAATGTTTTGGGTTTGCCGGATACTGGTGGCCAGGTACACCCTCCCATGCATTAATTGGTGGTTTTTTTTTCATGCGATTGGTGATTGTTGCGAGAGTTTTGTAGAGTATGAATGTCATTATATATATATATATATATATATATATATATATATATATATATCATGCGAATTAACAGTTGTATTCTTCTAAAGTACAGGTTGTATATATATTGGATCAAGTGCGTTCCTTGGAGAATGAGATGTTACTAAAATTAAGGCAGCAAGGACTTGATATCAAACCTAAGATTCTGATCGTACGTATTATTATTATTATCATTATTATGAGTCAAGTTTATACTCGGCAGCTGTAGTTTCCCTTATTCTCATTTTAGGTGACTCGCTTGATACCTGATGCCAAAGGTACTTCATGCAACCAAAGGTTGGAGAGAGTCAGTGGAACTGAACATACCCATATATTACGTGTTCCTTTTAGGACTGACAAAGGGATTCTTCGTAAATGGATATCAAGGTTTGATATATGGCCTTACATTGAGGCGTTTACGGAGGTAAATTGAATTGTCATATATAATTTTTATATATTCTGGGTCAAATGTTGGTCATAGTTTTACCTTTACCTCCCTATAGTGTTGGAACATTACCTGCACTAGACCAAAAACACACACAAACGTGCTGTGTAAAATTAAGAACAAATGGCGCAACTGGAACAAATTTTCTGTGTTTTTATTCGTTCCCAAAATTCCTTACAAAGGAGGGACATCTGAAACTCTATATCCCCGTCATAAAGCTAAACAAGTACATTTATTTATATTGAGTTTAATGGATTGATACATAAATATTTTATTATATTTTATTTTATTTAGTATACAACTTTACATTAATTATTGTAGGGAATTCAATGAAATATATATTTAATAGTTAAAAAGTTTTTTTTTTCTATTAAGTTCAATGCAATATATATTTAATAGTTAAAAAGTTTTTTTTTTTTTTTTTTTTATTGAAGAGTTCAATGGGTATATATATTTAATAGTTAAAAAGTTTTCTTTTTTCTATCGAAGAGTTCAATGAATCATTGAACTTTATATCCATTGAATACCAATATGATATAAAGTTTAATCCACAATTAACCATGCCATCTCATTTAACTATTCCATTAAATTATACATTGTGGATATAATAGCTACTAGATTCCATGTTATACTAATGGCACATGCCTTTTATTTTCCACTAGACTCGTCTACATAAGACCAAGTCAGATTTACTTTCTAATACTCTAAATGCTTCTTTGTTTCATTTTATCTTCTGCATAAAGAAAACACTAGACCCATATGACCCATTCGAATAATTGATCCACTGCCCAGGTTAACCCATGCATCAAGATAAAGGACACCATTTCTTGTCCACATGCATTTTGTCAGTTTCTTACTTATTCGTTCCACACAAACATGAAGAAGAAAGAATATTCTTCGGACTTTTACAAAGGTTATTGTGTTTGTTTCATCATCAGGATGCTGCAAGCGAAATTGCAGCCGAATTAAAGGGTGTTCCAGACCTGATAATTGGGAACTACAGTGATGGCAATCTGGTTGCCTCGTTGCTATCTTACAAAATGGGAGTAACCCAGGTGAGGGATTCTGTTATTGATGAAACTACTACCTGTCGCACATTAATTTCTAAATTCAATATTCAAACTGTTGATATATGATGTATATGCAGTGCAACATTGCACATGCATTGGAGAAAACAAAGTATCCGGATTCTGATCTATATTGGAAGAAATTCGACGACAAGTACCACTTTTCTTGTCAATTTACTGCCGACCTTCTAGCCATGAACAATGCGGATTTTATCATCACCAGCACATACCAAGAGATTGCAGGAACGTACGTACCCTGTTGAACTTTTTAGGTGTTTTGTTCAAAATATGGTGTGATCTCCTGAAACAGGAAATTTTGCTCATATATACGAACGTCAGACCTTCTGAAGTAGATGTATGTGATACTTGTGTGTGTATCATAGATAAGAAAAGAATAAAAACATAACAGTATCTGCCCCTCCCCTGATACCTAATGCAGCCCGTATAAATTCTATAATTGAAACTTGCATAGTCTTCATGCATAAGTTGTTAACTGTATATAGATTTACACGACCTTTATCTTTGTTTTAATTTCCAGCCATTATTAATTTGAACTTCACAAGTTCCTGCTACCCTATGATGGTCTCACCTGTTGGACCATCAATTTGAAGTTTGAAGTCATCGTTGTTTAAGATTTTTCTTTTGCTCTGTGTTATGATTTTAGATCTGAATTCTTTTCAGGAAGAATACTGTTGGACAGTATGAGAGTCATTCAGCGTTCACTCTTCCAGGTCTGTACAGGGTTGTTCATGGTATTGATGTGTTTGATCCAAAGTTCAACATCGTGTCTCCAGGGGCAGATATGACCATTTACTTCTCATATGCTGAAAAAGAGAAACGACTTACATCTCTGCATGCCACAATTGAGAAGCTGTTGTACGACCCTGAGCAGAATGATATCCATGTGTGAGAGTCTGAATGAATTTTGTTAATTTTTATGTTGAGATGATGTGTGTATATATATATATATATATATATATATATATATATATATATATATATATGTGTGTGTGTGTGTGTGTGTGTGTGTTAATCAAGTAACATGCATGCATATGTGTGTTTGGATGCAGTGGTAATATAAGTGACCCGTCTAAACCCATGATTTTCTCGATGGCGAGGCTGGACCATGTGAAAAACATCACAGGTTTGGTTGAGTGCTATGCCAAGAATGGGAAGCTGAGGGAAGTGGCAAATCTTGTTGTGGTTGCTGGATACAATGATGTGAACAAGTCCAGTGACAGAGAAGAGATCGCAGAAATTGAGAAAATGCATCATCTTTTTAAGCAATACAACTTGGATGGTCAGGTCAGATGGATATCCGCCCAAACCAACAGAGCTCGAAATGGAGAACTGTATCGCTATATTGCTGATGGAAGGGGAATTTTCGTCCAGGTTTTATAATTTAATTCATATATATATATATATATATATATATATATATATATATATATATATATATATATATATATATATATATATATATATAAAAACCGTCTCACGGTCTCACAAAATTGGATCGTCTCATATGAACCTAACCCTATATATATATATATATATATATATATATATATATATATATATATATATATATAGGGTTAGGTTAATATGAGACGATCCAATTTTGTGAGACCGTGAGACGGTTTTTATTTTTTTATTTTTTTATTTTTTTTAAGTTAATTCAAGTTCTAAAATTAATATTTAAAAAAAAAAAATTTGTATTTTTTTTCATTTATTTTCCATTTTAAAATTATTTTTTAGAATATGTACAGTCTAATATTCTATTAGAATATTTCACGTACTTTTAAAAAAAACGAGATTTTTTTTTAGTTAATTCAAGTTCCGAAAATAATATTTAAAAAAAGAATTTTTAGATTTTCCATTTATTTTTCATTTTAAAATTATTTTTGAGAATATGTACACTCTAATATTCTATTAGAATATTTCACGTATTTTTCAAAAAAAGTGGGATTTATTTATTTATTTATTTATTTTTTATATCTTTTTAGTTAATTCAAATTCTGAAAATAATATTAATTTTTTTTTTGGATTTTTCTATTTATTTTGCATTTTAAAATTATTTTTAGATTTGGTCTCACAATCTTACAAAATTAAAATGGTCTCAAATGAACCTGAACATATATATATATATATATATATATATATATATATATATATATATATATATATATATATATTCCCCTAGCTAGCTACTAAATTAACTAATTATATATGATAATATGGATGCATGGGATCAATGTCATGCAGCCTGCTTTCTATGAAGCTTTCGGGCTTACAGTGGTAGAGGCAATGACTTGTGGACTCCCAACGTTTGCCACATGTCATGGTGGTCCAGCTGAGATTATCGAAGATGGCGTGTCTGGGTTCCATATCGATCCATATCACCCTAATAAGACATCTGCAATAATGGCTGAATTTTTTCATAAGTGCAAGGAAGAACCCACTTACTGGGTCAACATATCTGATGCTGCCCTCAAAAGAATAAGCGAACGGTAAATCTTAGATTTACATTTAAATCCATCAAATAATTCCAAAACTATAAGTTTTGTTTTGAATCGACCATCTGATTCGGCTCACCCATAGACCAGAGCCATATATTTTTTCTTGGACGGAGAAGTCCTTTACTTAAATTTAACTATTTAAGTTTAAATTTAATACAAATTTTCAGTAGAATTTTATATTCCTAATAATGATAATCAAGATTTCTACTTTTAAAAATAAATTTGATAATTATATATCAGATGAAGATTTTATTTTTAATAATTATACATATATTATTTTACATATATATAGGTACACATGGAAGATCTACGCAGAACGGTTGATGACATTGGCTGGAGTTTACAGCTTTTGGAAGTACGTCTCAAAGCTCGAGAGGCGTGAAACCCGACGATACCTTGAGATGTTTTACATTCTAAAGTTTCGTGAACTGGTGAGATTTCATCCAATTAACCCATGCATGCATGCATTCTTGTCTACAAGAGAAAAAGTAAAAAACAAAATCCTTTTACAAGCCCATTTGCATTTAATTAAGCTCCATAAGCATATATCCCCAATTTAATTATCAACTGAAAAAGCGTGTTACATGCACTTTGTGCATATTATAGAAAGCTAACATTTTAGTAGCATATTTAGATGTGTTGTAAACAGAAACCACTTGACCATTTTGGGATTTAACGCTTGTATAAATTATATATTTTTACAACTTTGGTTGGTTTTACTGTCTTGAGCAGGTGAAGTCCGTTTCGCTAGCTGTTGATGATTAATTATGATCAGCCTTAGGAGTTGTTAGGAGTTGTCTTCCCGATCAATATGGGAAGGGGATGTGGCTTCCATAAGTCTGTGTACACAACTATGTATGTATATATGTCGGTATGTATGTATTTCGTTGTACATGTGTTGTTATATTATATGCACAAAACCTAGGTGATACTTAAAGAATAATAATAATAATAATAATAATAATAATAATAATAATAATAATAATAATAATAATAATAATAATAATATTATTATTATTATTATTATTATTATTATTGTTATTATTATTATTATTATGGATGGGAAGAAAGAAATATGTGGATTGAATGGAATGGCGAGAAGCAGTTGTGAATACGGTACGATTCATAAAGCAGAAAGAGGGATTCTTCAAGTGAATTTGGTAGAATGATTCATGAAGAAGCAGTTATATCTTTAGATGCTTTTTATCATATACAAGGAATTGATGCCAATAGTGTCTTGTGTACATGACATGGCGGTGCAGTCAGGGGCGGAACACGCAAAACACAGATAATATATAGAGGGGGGTCAAAACACGGACATGGCCAAGAACTTTCCAACCAACGAATAACAATTTAAAAGAAAACAAGAAAATAAAATCAATATGCAGAAGGAAGGACATTCTAGACACAACTTCCAACAACTACTCGATTAAAAACAAGATAAGATAAGACTGAGAGCCATCGATAAAAATATATAAATATAAACAATACATATATATGAGTATGAGTCTTAAAAGAAAAAGTCAAGGAAAGGAAAGTAACTCCCAAATCAAGATGGAAAGAACACATATTGTAACATCGGTGGCCTCGCCGGTGGTGTGGATGAGGCAGTGTGGCAGGTGGCAATGATAGTGGAGAACGAATGCTTTTCTAATCCGCACATCTTGTAACATTTTTTCAACCACTTTTCTTGTATTATACCTCCTATTTCATCATATTGATTGTGATCGAAGATTATAAGATGATAATGTTTACTTGTTTCTTAGTTGTTGATTTACATTCCATTTAAACTCTTATTACCTTATTTTGTCTCTTTGTCGTACATTCCATTTAAACTCTTATCACCTTATTTACAAAATCATTGGAGGGGCCAATATTAATTACATTGTCAAATAACAAACTAACTTATAAACTCTTTGGTATTCGTAGTCTAAAGACAGGGGTCATGGCCCCTCCCGGCCCTTAAAGGCATCCGCCACTGGGAAGAAATCGTTATGAAAGCGAGGATTCATAAAGGCATCCACCCCTAAATAACAAACTAACTTATAAACTCTTTGGTATTAGTAGTCTACAGACATGGGTCATGGCCCCTCCCGACCCCTAAAGGCATCAGTGTAACAGTCCAAATCAGGTAAACCATTTAACCCTTTTAAATAATTCAGTTGGCAAAAATGGACCTTTTTAGTACGGTGGGTGTACCTTTAGGTACGCTTAGCATACCATGGAGGAAGGATCGCGAAGGAGTTTCGCGTACGCGGGGATATGCGACAGAGGACTAAACCCTAATTTTTGGACTTAAGACCTATATAAGCATCCTTATCGCATTTGAGCCTCGCCCTAACTAGCCTCCTTCACCCTCAAACATCCCTGAAAACCCTAAACTCATTAGAGTGTGTGTTCTTGAGATTGTAAGTGTTTAAACACCATCCTTTTTGGTGTATTAGCTACAAGGAAGAGGAGGCAACAAGCTTGAACGAAGAAGGGATTCTGGATCTTACATTTTTAGCAGCCTAGTAAGTTTAAGGAGGTAAAAAGATTTCACATATGTCATCATTTTCATTTCTACAGATACGGTTTTCTCTTTAGTCCCTTTTTGTGTTATTGGACCACTTCTTGAGAGTTTGAGCAACTCCAGAGCTTAGGGAGGATAGATATGAGGTCCTTTGGTCCATTCCTAGCATAACAATGGAGTCTTGCTGGGTTTTTGACCTCATACATGGATTAAGACTCTTGGAAAGGCCTTAATAGGTTGTTATGAGCATATGGAACATGCAAAGTTATAAAGTTGCCAACTTTATGACTTAGGACGTCTTAATGAACTCAGATCTAAAGATTGGACGTTGGAATATAAAAAATAAGCACTTAATGGAAAAATGTGCTTAATCTGTTTGTATGTTGGGCATAGTATAATGTACACAGCGTGTATAGCTCTGGGACTCTGTACGTTAAGCATATAGGAGTGGTATGCAGGGCGTACACACTCAAATGTACTTAGATTTGTTTTGGGCTTGAAATCCCTTTGGGCCTTAAGTAATCGTTGGGCCTGGTCATGTTTTGAGTTAGTGGGCCAATTTATCTATTTTGGGTCATGATTGCTATGGTTAGGCTTTATTGGGCCATGAGGCCCATTAATGATTTTTGGGCATGGACTTTGGGCCCATTAGCAATGGGAGACTTTTGGGCCATTATGATAGAACTTGGGGCTTCGGTTCTTTAAATGGATTATATCTAACCCTAACCTTGGGTAAATGGTATTATTGTTTAGTATGGGTGGTTACGAACTGTTAGGTGAGCAGCTTTCGGATTCAGCAGACAGAGCTGAATCTCCTCACCATACTAATGGGTCGAAGGCACCAAGGCCGACCAATTTAGTTAGTGGCAGTGTTTATTGTAAATTCACTACTGAAATGTCTCGTATGCTTGTATATGAGAATGTGCTAGTAATTATTAACTAGATACGTGCAGACCTTGAGGGGAGCCCGTAGCAGTTGGATATAAGACCATGTGGGGGGAGCCCATAGCATTCTAGGTAAAGATTGTCAGGATTAATATCCTCAAAGATCTTTTAGATTCAAAAAAAGTAAACAAGAACACAACGATGATTGAATGGATATTGAATGATTAAGAGTCACGCCTCAGAAGAACTCGATGAAGAATTGCTACTATAGAGGCGTGATTAGGGTTACAATGTAATAATCAACCTTAACTAAAATACGATGCATGAATGAACCTTAAATACTCTAACCCTAGAAATAAATACAAGTAGACATGCCCAAATCGTTTACAAAATAAACTTAATCAAGAAGGCCCAAAGACGCAACACTATAATCCCAACAGTCTCCCCTTTTGGGTCATTTGAGGTGAGGAAACTTTAATTCTTGATTCGCTTCTGAACTTTAAACACTTTCAAAATTATGTTCAGCAATGCCTTGCGAACCTGGATATACCAACAAATCATATCCAAAAAGCATTTATTATCTCTTGCACTGTTGCCTCTAAATTTATATGTCATACTCAGAACATGCTCGATACAAGAGGTAGAGTACATGTGTTTATCATCAAGGAAGAAACACGCCTTGTGATAATCAGAGTCATTTTGTTCCCGTGACTGGAACACCATATACCAACCTTCCTTGTAGATCTTTCCTAGTTTTATCTTCTCAAGATCTTTAGGATACTCCTTCGGAACTGCAGAAGGCTTCTTTCTAAGAACTGCAGTTATCTCAACATCCATGGTTCCCACTTCTTAAATATATGAAAGGATCAGCAGTTTGAGATAACTGACAACAGGTTTGTACTTCTGTTCTTCTCGCATCAAAATATTGTAGAGCATGATCCAGTCATAAGGATTGATACATGGCAAATATGCGAGAGTAATTTCATGAACTTGACTCTCCGAACCCTTGATAACTTTGAACTTCGCATTTGGAAAACTGTCAGTTTCGATAGATCCAGTGACCTTCACTGTTGTTATCTTAATCATGCTCCATGTTTCGTATTGAGGCTTCATGTATTTGAGATAAAAAGCGAAGAGAAGTTGATCAACTCCGTTGTCAGAAGAGGAAACATTCGCAACCTTGATAAAGGAGCGAAACTTGAAGGCCTTCGGAGTCATGGGAAGATCCAATTGCGAGTCCCAACCAATATTGGCTAGGCATATCAAATGCTGAATTTTGAAGATGCTTCAAAGTCCACTTTGGACAAAAGTTTCCTACTTTTAACTGTAAGTTGAGCTTCTTTTTTATCCTTCTCCTTGGCTTCAGCTTCTTGTATAATTCTTTGATGTTCGTCTATCTCTTCTTCACGTGCCTTTCGCCTTTTAAGCTCTGCTTCATCAAGCTCTTATTCATCTTCATTATCAATGATAGGATCATTAGAGAAAACTTTCTCTTTACCCTTTGGCTCAGTTTCACTTTTAACAACATACACATGCTTCACAGGATTTGGTTGATCTCCCCCTTGTTTTGGAGTGCCAGAGGATTCCGAAACACCTTCCAAACGGTGAAGAATAGCGAATGTTGACCTTAGCTTTTCCCCCATATACTTTTGCACATTAATTGGAATCGTCAAGTCCCTAGCTTCAATGAGATCCGAGAGCAAGGCAGTGACATCAGTGATACAACTTTTCATGATAGCCTTCTCTGATAACAGATCTTGGACTTGTTTCTCAGACTGTTCGAGCTTAAGAGAGAGAGAGAGAGAGAGAGAGAGAGATTTCACTTTCTCATTCTTGATAGAGAGGGCATCCATGACTTTGCTTTCCATCGCTAAATCTTCTTGAAGCTTTGAAATTTAATAAGTAACAGAAGATTGAAACTTTTCATGATCATATTTATGACCATTGCGAATGTATTGAAATTTGGCCCTTTTAGACTTGAGAGAAGCGCTCAAGCCTGAAATGACTTCGTTGACTGTAGTTGTGTTGGACTCAAAGGACTGCTGAAAATTTTCCATATAAGCCTGAGCATCAGAAATTAGTTTATCGACTCTTTCGGTCATGTGGTTGCAAACAGTTGTGGATGCATCAACTTTTGTGTTCATCCTTTCAACATTCGAAGAATGTTCTTTGATGAGAGTTTCAAGAAGAGAATTGATAGTCACTTATGAGTAGTCATCAGATGAGGAAGGCTTGGCATATTGAAGCAATGAGTCAAGCTTGTCATGAATAGCTTTGAGTTGCCCCTTCGTAACTAGAGCTTCATCATTACTGCTAGTTTTGATGGTGAAAGGACTAAAAGTGAATCCTTGCAAGTCATCTTCACTATCCCCATAGATCATATCAGGATCATCAGTGCGAAACGGGGAAATCAATGGAGAAATATGAGTAGTGGTGAAACCTGATACTCCAGCCCCGGCATCAGATGCGTTGATAGAAACACCAGGTTTGGCTGAGGTGATTGGTGGGGTTGTGGAATCTGTAAAGTGAGGAGTAGAAAGAGGAATGGTGGTTTGAGGTGTAGATGATATTGGAGGAGGGTATGGTGCAATGGTAATGTGTGTTGTAGTGGTTTTAGGTGAAGTAGGAGAAGAAGGAACAAAATCAGTGTGTGATTTAGTTACCTTAGGATTAGAAGCAAACTTCTCATTGTGAACTGACTCTCCCTCCTCGTTGTGAACATGTGGTTCTTCTTCCTCAACGCGAATGTCTGACTGAGTCTCAGACTTCAAACTTTCATCTTCACTGGGAGTAGGGGACTTTCGCCTATGACTAGGTTGTTTTTGCCTTTTGGGAGTAGCCGCAGAAATTCCCGTTGGTGCTTTTCGTTTTGTGGGAGGTTTTGCAGGGGTTGATGGTCCTTCCTTATTAATAGTGTTCTTGTCTCCCTTCTTCAAACCTTTCCCCCTTTCTTGGCTTTGTCAGCCTTAGCTATGATAGCTTGCATTTCTTTAGTTAATTCATGAGGCCTAGATGGAGTCAATTTCTTGTACCCCTCCAAGATTTTTCTAGAAGGTGGCACATGTCAAAACATGGCTTATGGGATTGAACCAATGAAGGAAAACTTGAAGAATCGGAAATGATAATCCCAATAGTGTGAAAAGTAGAGATTGAAGCCATCAACGTGTCTTGCATCAGTGAGATTTTGAGCCTATCAATGGAGTGGTGGACAATTAGAGTCGAAAAACGGGTACAAGAGATTTCACTGTGACATGTAGTGGAGAGTGTGCTCTGAACTAGTTGAGCCCAAAGCACAAAGCTGTAGTCGATATTGGAACCTATGTAGAGGCCATTGAGAATCGCCATGAATAACTTGCTTGCATACTCTGATCCGGTCACCATTTTAGAAAAACCCTTGAAAAGTAAGGTGAATAGGTCGTTCCATTGGGGAGGCAGATTGGGCTTCCTAAACTTCGAGACGGCTGTTAGGGTTTCTTTGTAACCCATCTGGTAGAACATTTCAAGAAGAGCGACACTGGTTACTGACTCAAGGTTAATCATATCATCAGTTTGAGGAAGTTGTAGGGGAGAAAAGAACCAAGATTTAGTGATTGAAGTCTTACAGTCGTGGATCTCACACATGATCCTCTGTTCTTCCTTAATGTAGTTTGCTGATGAGTAAGCCTTAGATAGGATTGAGAGAGGAACATTCTCCATTCTGGATTGAGCGTTTGTGAGTGGAGAGTATTTGAGGCATTCGATCATGGGTAGCATGAAGCTATCGTACTTTACTGGGTCAAGATCGATCAACAAGTTCTACTTTTGTTTAACTGCTAGAAGAGTAAAATGAGCAGTTTGATCTTGAGCAGAGATGCTTTCAGATGAAACCGCCATTGATGGAGCTTGAGAAAGAAGAAGATGAACAGTAGAAACTTTGATCGTCGAAGATTTTGAGTGGATTTTGTGTGTGGTAATGAATAAAGACTCGTCAAAATCCTTATATACCACTTGATTTGGTGATAGAAATCAGGAGAGAGAGTGTATTGGGTACTAAAAAGATGCCTTGATAAGCATGACTGACAACTGTTGACGTTAGTAACGTGTGTCAGGTGGCGTAAAAGTATCTTCACACACCCAATTCAAATCTTATCCAGAATTGTAACCATTTGAAATTCTCCCTTTTGCAGTTATTACATTGCATGCCCTTTCATAGTGAGATTAAAGCTTTCATTATCAAGTGTTCATTGACAAACCTGCGAAACTTAAATGAATCATAAGAACCACGAACTAGACTTGGGGAAATCACTAGGATCTTCGAGCAAGAGTGTACCAAGGATAACGAAATAAATCAATATATGTATGTAGGATTTCGTGATGTCTAAATAAAGACATAAAACTGTGGATCCGGAGCAAAGATCTCTTCCTTCAAAGTCAAGAAAGACTAAGAAGTGTCTGTGTGGTTTCCCGTTGAAATACGATCAAATGTTTAATAAGAAACATTGAAAGGCATCTTTTAATTAGGCTTATAGGGTGGCTAAATCTCCAACTAAACAACGAACTTGATATAAGTATGAATGTTGGATGAAGTACTCGTGTGACCAGTGTAGTCAGTTAAAAGGAATAGGTTTGGAATTATTTTAGTGACAAGATGAAACTTTGAAATCTCAAAAAAAAAAATGGATCTTGTGGGAAGAAGTGACTTGGAACCAAAACAATTCATAAAGATCTCGCTAAAGAAAAAGAGATTCCTTGGTACGGACTACGAAAGTGGCTTTCGTTAATTCCATGGTGAAAATATTGTACATTTAATTTGTTCACCGTCAATTCAGTTAAGTGTGTTGGATTTTGGGTTTCACTCAGTTCGTGGTGAACGAAGCTAAGATCATTAACACAGAAGTTGTGTAACCATAAACCTCAGTGGTATTGCTGAGAGCCTTAAGGGTTACATTTATGAGTGCAAAGGCAATGGAGAAGTGTAAAGGTGGTTCCAGAGAAGCGAATGTACCTCTACTATACGAAAGTGACTAAACAGATAACTCTAAACTCAAAGTGAGAAGAGTAAGGTAGCTCATGATTAATGTGAATTTAATAGTCTGGTTGGGAAGAAACGAACGGTAGATTCGATTCATTAAGGCTTCACATCGAGTCCATTGAGGGGACAACATAATACAACATGCTTCTAGGGATACTTAGCTACTACAAAGATAAATAATTTTATACCTGCCCTATCACACGTATTGAGATATGATACGAATCAGTGCCTCCATGATCTTCTTAAGATATTTTTGGTGTTTTTGAGATTTGTGAAAATAAAAATAAACACAAACAAAATATTTTTGTATTTTGAGATATTCTGAAAGGAAATAAAAACAGAAGAGATTGAAAAACAAAACAAGAATAAGAAATAATATACATAAAGTACAAAAGGATATTGGAAAATCTGAACCACCAATGAGCAGTTGACTACAAACCACTATGAGTGTTCGCACCGATTTGCGGTGTTAAAGTAGACTAGGAATGAACAGTGGACTAGAAACTACTACGAACGTTTGCACCCATTCGATGTATAATCATTATGTATTCGAAAGTGGTTTTGGAAACAGATTCAGCTTCTATCATTCCAAGGCCTTGAAGAATTCTATTGAAGGTTGTTTCAGGCAAGGCTTTTTTTGAATATGTCATCCAATTGATCAGAGGATCTCATAAAGTGATTTTCAACATTACCATCTTCTATGTGGTCCTTGATGAAATGATACCTCAGTGATATGATCTCGAGCGTGCCTGGAGTAGTTCAACCTGTACCAAAGGTATCCCCCACAAGCCACATGATCTCAAGATTCGTTCCAACAATAGCCGATACCGAAGTCCCAAATCGCTTCCGAACCCCCATAGTGAAGCCTTATGATGGGACTACAGATCCTGAGGAGCATGTGGCACAATATAGGGAAAGGATGGAGTGATGGGTTTTCAACATAACATAAAATCCTACGTGTGCATGGAACCTTAATAAGATCTATGTGTTCTCTAATTGAACATACAATATGAACAACAATTTATAAACCCTAGATCTCTAGTAAATAATCGAAAATCACATAGTGAGGGTTATGATACATACCTTTGAATGTTATGTAGTAATAACAATCCAAAAAACTTGAAGATGTTGAAGCTTGAGAGTAAGTGTCACAAGTGTATCACCTCTAATGAATCACAAACACACTTAGAAAGATAATGAGATATGAAAGAGGAGGAGGAAGCCTCAAATTTTGGCCACTCTTCTTAGGGTTTCATGTATCCAAAAATACCAAGGTTGAGGCTCCTTATATAGTGAGGTGAGTTAGAGCCAAAGCTAGGGTTTTAGGGGGAAACCCTAATTCCTTAGCTTAAGGACCAAGCAACCCACAACCTTCCATCCAATATCCCTTGGATGAAAATTCTAGGGCCTTCCTAGAAGTTTTCGTCTAAGCCTTTTTAAGGGGGTTCTAAAGTTTCTTTCCTCAAATATCAATAAATTGCCAAACAACCTTTGCACTTATAATTTATTCAATTAATCCCAAAACTAATTCCGATTAACTTCTGATTAACTATTAATTAAATAATATGATTTCCAATTAATATATTATTTCCATAATACATTAATAAATAATTCATTTAAATTTATTAATCAAATAATAAATTCTTCCTCTTTCTTTATAGGTCATCCTGTCTAGTTGCTAGTATGAAGGCAAACCAAAAGGATTGTGCTACTATCAATTCAAGTATATACCAATTATAATTATGGGCTTAGACACCTAATCCAATAGTTTCCCACTTGGATATGTCTAATAACTATATGTGCCAGTATAACTTTAAAAATTTATTAGCAAATTGAAGCTCTCAAAGCCGCTGACAAACTCTGACCTAGTCAGATATGTGTCGTAAGATAAGTGATCATATAATCCTATGTTCTGCAAGATATCATGTGAACAAATGACATGGAACAAAATCATCCTCATTGTCCAACAACTTGCTTCCTAATTTTTTATTTGTAATGAAAAAGAACTACAATTGAACACATCAATTCAGTCCTGGTTGGGCCCGACACGTAAATCAACACCAAATCATCGAGGGGCCCAAGATATCACTTTTCCCATTAAGGAAAAAGGAACATATAAAATTTGACTATTAGGACTAGGATCCTTAAAGCATTCAGGATTCTCAAACCTCATCAGATATCTCAGGATCCTCAAATATCTCAGGATCCCGACTATTACCGCTATTATTATTCACTAACATTTATAACGGTTATAGTTCATTCTTAATTAACACATGTGTAGAAATATTCAAGAGAAGATTTATTCTCAACAAAGAGTGATCTCAACTATGCTAAATACCCAAAATACCAAGTCCAACAACGTTCGCAAAGCTGGTCATAGAGGATCCCACAAATATTGGACATCTTGTTAGCTAGTCTAGACTATAAATTGACACATGTATATCACACATGACACACTACTTACTCTTAGCTTACTCCACAAACTTTTTCATTTGTTCTTACTGAAATACTCTCTATACTCATCAATTTATATTAATAAAATCATCAAGGCAGGTAATCATTATCACCTCCCAAGGTTTTGTGCCAGAGATCCTAGCAAGGATCAAGGGCTTTCCTTGTAAACAATCGTGTCATTATCTTTACCTTTTTCTATTGCACAATTCGAACATCACAACCTCTCATTCAATTTGGTTGATTTATACTTGTGTAATTTTTTGACCAAAAAATTTTGGAGCCCACTGTGGGGCCGTGGTGTTCAAAATCCTCGAAAGATCATGTCTACACAACCGATCATTTCTTCATCTTCCGCTCCTTCTATTCCAACCAAAAACGTACCACCTCCTCCGACTAGACCCCATGGTCAGAGGAAAGCACCTGATATTTCCAAGAGAAACACCCCTCCGGTCACTAACCCAGGAAGTTTGGGTTCTTTAGGACTCTAGGACCCGAATGCTCCGGTCACTATTGTTGAATTCTTTGCTATGATAAGGAAAATGACAATCAGATGATTCAGCAGGAAGACGAAAATAGAACACTACTCAGAGAAGTGGAGAGGATAAAGGTGGAATTTCAGAAATCCCAGGAAACGATGCCCATAGTTGTACAACCAAGGATCTTGAACTTTGACAATGCGGGATCCTCAGGAAATCAACAGGGAACACAACTCATGTTACTACTACATCACCCTAGGCGATGATTATGAACAATCGAGCATCTATGATCAATGATCTTGATGAGCCTTTCAATACTCCAAGAAACCTTGATTTTAGTAACTTCTTAAACAAAAATACTATCAATACTAAATCTATTAATGTTGATGCAGTAATAAGTCCAAACATGGCTAGGGAACTTTGGCAATTGAGACAAATGATCTCAAGCGTACCCGGGTAGTTCAACCTATACCAGAAGCATCTCTAACAAGTCTCAGGATCTCAAGATTTGCTCCTACGATATCTGATACCGAAGTTCCTAAGCGCTTCTACACAACTAGCATGAAGCCTTACGATGGGACTACGGATCCTGAAGAGCACGTAGCACAATACTGAGAAAGGATGGAGGTCATTCCCATCCCATTACACTTGAATGAAGCTTGACTATGCAAGAAATTTGGTTCAACCCTCATAGGATTTGGTTCAACCCTCATAGGCATGGAACATACTAGACTTTGTAACTAGGAGTTATGTTATAACCCACTAGAAACTTGGAAACAAGTAGAATCGAAGAATAGTGTACTTAGATTTCA